GCACACAATTTTATTTTTTTGAAAATCTATATTTTTGTTATTGTTTATGTTAAAAATATATATAAATGTATTGTTATGGGCAGGTTACAATATAAAAAATGTTTGTCATAATCATGTCTTGTGATTATTTGACAGGAGTTTTACTTTTAAACTGTAAGTGTACTTAATTTAGTTTTGTTAGTTATGATAGTTTAGTTATGATGTAAATACAATAAAAATTAAACCAAGCTTTAGAATAATTATCATTTTGATCTATACATTGGTAATCGTGTCACTTTATGTTTAACAAATTGGGCCCCAAGGTCAAAAAGTTTAAGAACCCCTGATTTATATAATATATATATATAATAATATCTGATATGATTCATGATTTAAGACATGTACCACTGAATCATGCCATCTGTTTTACTCAAGTCACAGCAGCTGTGTTTCAGTTTACGTTTTATTACAACAAAACTTCTCCAACCTTCCAAACAGAAAGGCCGTGTTGAACTGTGACCATTCCCAAGCTAGCAGAGATGCTTATCTTTAATTTTTACATCTAACCCCTCACATATATCATCGCAGCCTTTAGGTTTTTTTTTTCCTACACAGTGATTGATGCATTTTCAGCTTACTTCCGTGTGCAAGACGATCCTCGATCACATTTTCTCCAACAAAGTGTGACAAGAGTCTCGCAGCCGGCACCTCGTGCCTTTAAACGTCAACACGCATTCAATTCCCAGCTGCGTTATTACCGGCTAACTCTTATCAGTCACCACCAGAGTAATGAGTCGGCCTGTTTCAGATCACTACACTCGTACAGGATAAGACTAATCGGGCGTGTCAGCACCACGCATGCAGTGGCCACATCTGTCGCCACCTTTCTAATAGTTCAGCACTTTCAGAGCCGCTGTTAATTGACAGGAAACACTTCTCTGAAGAGCACCGAGTGGCATTTGTTTTTCGCTACTGTTGACTCATTTAGCTCGGTCCGACTTTGCCAAACATTGCTGTCAATGCAAATTTTATTAAATGGCTAAAACAGAGTTCTAACATTTGYAAAGAAGAGGCAATACACATGAAAGTGTCTTCCTGGTGGACCGTTCTGAGTTTCCCACACCTCGTTGGAGAACCAGTGTCTGTGTGTGAGGGAGACACGCACATAAATGACTCACACAGTTACATTCTGCTGGTTGACAGTGTTTGTAATTAAAGCTGAAGTCAATATCCACACACAATTAGATCTCAATTGAAATAGCTAATTTGGTTTGGTTATCTTTTTAAAAATCTGATGAATAGTACGAGTGTATGAGAGCGAGATCATTGTAATGCAAACCCAGACCTTCAATCTGCTGATGAATTAATGAGCTATCAAAGTGTAGTCTTTGAACCATTTTTTCGTGTTCTTATTTCTAAGAGTTAATTAGTTCACTATAAGGTTGATAAATATCCTGTCAGGGTGTGGAGAGAAAATCACTGTGAAGAAATGTATGTGCTGCTTTGTGTCRTGGTTTGTTTTTATTTGTATCAATTTAGCATTTTAGTAGTTAACACTATGTGGCCTTGATTATTCATTAGAATTTAGGGAATGATACAAATTTGAAGAGTTGCCATTTATTTGTCATTTGTTCACTTTGATATTTTCGATTTGCAAACGTGAAAAAAAGAAACACCATGTTATTTTTATTTATTTATTTTATTTTTGCATCTGTACTTTTCTTTAAAGCGTTGTTCTTCCATCCACTCACTAATCCTCGTCTTTTCTCTCCCTCTTTCGTTCCCCGTAGATGAAGGTTCAGAGCCGAGTTCAGGCCGTGACACTCCTGCAAGTAGTTCATCCCGCCAGGGAGTCGATCAAGCCGAGGAGAAAAGCAAAAAAGACAAGAAAAAGAAGGAGAAAACCAAGAAGAAAGAAAAGAGCAAAGAGAAAGGAAAGGAGAAGGAGAAAAAGAAAGCGGACGAGCCTGAGGAAACGGAGAAGAAGAACAGGAAAATAGGCTTCGGTCGACTGAGGTGAGTAAAGGGATTTATCCATTTAATGGGACCAGTTTGCTTTTGCTGCGTTCGCATGTCCTCCCATTACAGCCTCAACTGGGCAGAGCTGTGCTAAACCTCACTGATCTGCTTCTGCCTGTTGTTTAAAGAACATTAAGTTCTCCTGGAGTAAGGTACTGAGCCAAAGAAGGCCTCCATTTTGTTTCTTTCTTGTTACAATATTTAATTAGATAAATCTGTCTACTTAATAAATACATGTAAACATCTTTAACAAGGAAAGAAAAATCCGGAACTCAAAACATTTAGAAATAAAAACAAAAGGAAGTTTTACTGAATGTTTACCATCGAGTTATTGTTTAYCTACATCTTAATGTATTATATCAAACTATTTAATATATTTAAACATTTATAAAGGATTAGGGTTTAAAATAAAATGACTATGTTGGGGAACTAACCTCAGCTCTTCTGTTCATGTAGTCTGGCTCAAGTTCTTCTGTTTCTTGAGATAATCACAAACACATTTGATGATGATGATGGTGAAAACTCTACATGGTCCTCATCATGACTTTCAGAACTGTTTACTGTTCCTGTCATTTTTATTGACATTTTATTGGCATGTTTGGGGTCACTGACCTCACATCCCTACCTGATGGGTTTRCATCATAGACAAGTATCAACCTGTTTTACTCAGCTCTGAGGATATTATCAATTTTGACTAATTCCATTGCAGAAAYGTAACCTCAAACCACCAGTTTGCTCCACTGTAGCCTCCGGTTGCTCATTATTGTTCTGCCTTCGAGGCTTTTGGCGAACAAACCGTCTTCTGCTGCAGCCAAATGTTTCCATTTTTGACTCATCGGTCCAGTCCTTCTTCCTAAACTCAAATTAAGGCCATGAYCACTTTTTATTTATAAGTTATTACTTACACCCGTGTCATATACTGTCTTTGGCGGACCACATTATGTAGGCTAGAGACACTTCTGTTTTTAGGTTTACTGTTCAGATTAATTTGTTGTGAAATGATTTCTGCTTTTCATTGATTTCTTTAAGAAAAACCTTTTTTTTTTTTGCTTCTTGATTTACATGCAACATCGTATTTATTCAATGACCTATCAGAAACAAAAGCAAAAGATAAAATTACACTTTTACCCTCAACAGAACTTTTTTTACAATGTCTGTTACATAAAATGTTATTTGTTCAAAGAAAACATTTCCACATTGTTCTCCTGTTTTATTTAAAGACCTCAGTTAAATCATCCCCTCTCTGACAACTTGAAATAACCGAGAACAGTAAGACTTTTAATGTGAAACTCAGAGTGTCTGACTACCTGAGAGCACGGCAGTCATTGGCTGACTTAAAAAAAAAGACTTGAAGACTTCTTTTTAATCAAGCTCATTATTCTTTTGCATGATTTTACCATTGGTTTTAATTATTTTTAACAGAGTTTTTTTGTTTTGTTTTGTTTAGTTTTTTTTTGTAGCGCTTTGATATTTTTGTTAATGAAAAGTGCTGTAAGAAAATTACGCGTTCAATAGACTGAAGTCAAGTCAATAWGAAAACCACCAATTGATTTGTAGAAGGAATAAAATGATTTGTAGAAGGAATCAAACCATACAACACCAGAATTCTGGAACCGAGTGGGTTTATTGCCAAGCGGAGCTGACAGGAAACCACACTGACTAAAAGCCAGGAAGTGCATCAATTTATACATAATTACTGAGTTCGCCCCCTACTGACCTACGGCTGAATCACAGGCATTCATACACAAGTCTCAGTCTAATGTTATAATAACGTTTCACTTATGTGTTGTTTATAATTCGGACATGTAACTACTCTATATCAATCAATACATAATAGATCAAACATTATAAAAAGGAAACCCTAAGAATCTAGTGTTGTGCTTCTAACATCAGTTCTAACCTGTAATAACTATAAATTTATTCAATGCAATAAAACTGTAGGGATTAGATTAATGAAATCAGGGCCAGCCTAATTTTCATAAATGTAACCCAGGATCTTGCAAGAAATGAAA